CGCAGGCTCCCGGCGATGCACGAGCAAGGAGGAGGCTTCCCCCTCTCCTCACACTCAACCGACTGAGGGCTCCCAGCCGCAATCGCAGCCCCGCCTCCCAGCCAGGACTCCCAGCCGCTTCCCCCACCCACTCCAGGCTTCTGTCCGGTGTGCAGCCGGAAAAATCAGAAAATACCGGACATTGCACATGTCTGGTATTTTCTGATTTTTTTTTTTACTGGACAAAGCGTGCAAATACCAGACTTTCCGGTACAATACTAGACACCTGGCAACCCTAGTCCCGGAGCCAGAGCCGCTGCACTGCATGTGCACCGCCCCCCTCACCCGATCTCCCTCCTCTCCCCTTCTCCAGAGCCAGGCATCTCTTCCCCGCTCTAACCTAATTCCCTCCCACCCCCCCCATTATGCCCAGGTCCCAGAGCCGCAGCCTGTGCTCAGCGGCCGGCTGCTAGCATAGGCAGGCTGGGATGCTGTGTGACCCGGCCTGCATGTGCAGGATATGACGCAGTGCACTGGGGGCCGGGAGTGGAACGGCGCAGGCCGTGAGCACGCTTGTGGCTCACAAGAGCCCAGCCATGAGAGCGGCTGACCTGAGCGGTTCCGGGTTCTGTCCCAGTTCCGTCAGGAGCTGCAACTTTGCATCTCGCGAGCCTCGAGTTGGCCATCCTTGCTCTATCCAAAAGCAAAACAAGGGCACAAAACTAATTTAAATGAAAAAAAAAACACTTTTTATTGGTCACCGTTAAGGCACAGACTTGGGACTAAGGAGAATCACATTCAATTTGCAGCTCACTGCAGCCTTTTCCGTGTGGCCTTAAGCAATTTACCTAGTTCCTCCTCCCCTTACCAGGGAGAAAATAAGAATTTCCCAGTGTGGGGTGGGAGGAAAGGGGAAGAGAACAGAGGGTATTGGACAGAGAAGTTCATTAATATTTTGGAAGAGCCCTGCTACTGTGGAAAAAGGGGCTGTAACGTTGAGATGGGGTTCTCATATTATCTTTTCTCATTTAATTTATCTGTGCACTACATTGCAAATATTTCCATCTGCAAGGGTTAATTTTTTTTTCATCTTGATTGCTGAATAATTAAGACAAAGCACGTTTGTTCAGATTAAAATACACTTAACACCAAGTGTTGACAGTCAGAATAGGAGGGTATTTAACTGTGAAACAAATTCTAGTTGGATGACAAATATCTGTGTTTCGTAAGAAAATGGTGTGACACTGCAGCATTTTTGCATTTGCTGCTATTGATAGACATCACAGAACCTTGCAATGCTCTTTCTCTTTTCACCTATAGAGTTGTGTCAAATCTTGCAGTAGTATTTAAATTGCACTATTGAAAGAGAATGATGTGTGCAAGATTTATTCATGTTCGTGCAATTTTTGTGGAGATCTGCAGAGTATGTCTTTGCATTGTAAAATAATACTTTCTGAACTTGAGAGTTCAGAATACTAGTGCTGCCAAGTACCATTTGGCATGCCACCTTTTCAAGGTAATACAAGGCTGGGAGAAAAGTTTCCCCAGGAATCTTTGATTTCCATGAATTTAAAGAGCTAAATGTTATCTGATCTCTGGTGTCAAATAATTTGGCTTTTTTTTAAGTCACTCTTTGCAGTTTTCTCTTGGGAGGATAAAAGCTGCCATAATGGTCAGTAAAAATTGATTTCACATTAAGATGACAGGTTTCTGTGCTATATAATAGGAAAGACTGTACATTGTAGTGGAGACATTGCATGGAGATGGGGAATTGTGTGTTTACTCAACTATCGGCTATGGAAGGGGGCCTGGTAGCAGATCATACAAGATAGTATTTGTTCAGAAAATACCAGGCATCAAGGATATGAGAGAGATTGTGAGATTGTGAGTTGATAATTTTTAGAATATAATTTTTTAGAATTTATATTCTAAAAAAATTATGGAAAATTATAGCTGATTTTGACCTAGAGAGTAAGCCCCTGGATACTCAAACTTAGTTTAGTTTTTAACCTACTGTATGTTTTTTCCTTCTCAGAGTTCAATCAAAGTATTGTAAAAGTTCTGCAAACAGCTATCATACACCCTAGTTTATATATTGTGGTTTTTAATGTAAATATTCCTACTTCAAACTAAAGCAAACATTGCTGCAAGGTGGCAGGGTTTGCTTTGCTAATGCCTAGTAACTTTCTTTTAAGGAGCAGCCGCACAGAATTGAGATTAGATAGCAAAACAGCGAGGCTGTTGGGTAAATGCCAAGGAACGCACCACTATTGGTATTGAATATAAATACAATTTTTGAGCCTTGAATGCCCAAGCAGGACCTGTTGCTGTGAGGTAAAGGGAAAAGAGAGGTTTCAATGACAGACTAAATTGAATATATCATGATGGCTGCCATGCTGATCAGTATATCAGGAACTGAGCCCAGGATATTCAGAGGTGGCCGTGCGTGCTTTTAGAACTCAAAGTAAAGAGTCAGGCTTAGTCAGCAATGTAACACTCTTACAAGCTAGGCATCCAGCATGGAAGGGTGTGCGTAAGTGGGCCGCAAATGTATTGGAGAAATAGTGTCAGTTGAGATGTACTGTAGATGAGTGACGTGGTGACTGTCAGGGCCCCAAAACATCACAGAAGTATCTATATTTTAAAAAATATAAATAAATAAGAACATATTTTGCTTCCCTACTGAACTGGTGACAGACGTCACCTGGCCTTGGGCAATGTTGGGTAGGGGGCTCGGTCCCATCCCTCAGAAGGGGCGGGCCTTGGGTAGAGGGGGTAGATTAAGGGCAGCTAGCCCTCAGCACCACCTCTACCACACCATGCCTCTCCCAGCCAGCCCTCAGTGCCACCCAGACCACGTTGCACCTCCCCCAGGGGGCTCCAGCAGTGCTATAAAGGGCCCAGAGCTCTGCCTGACCCATGCTCTCCTCCCCCCTTGTGTTCATGCTGTCCTTGGACTTCTTGCTGTGTCTCAGTTTTGCTAACTGTTCACTTACAGTGTGTGAGAAGATGTGAACAGTGAACCAGATTCTGTTCTTGTTTCCCCCTGGTGGTGGACTACACTGAGCTCACAGTAGTAAAACCGAGAGTGGTATTCACATCTATATGTAGTAGAGCTTAGAGATCAGTTATGAATTTGACTCTTGGATGTCACCTACACACTTCCAGTGATGAAACAGGATGTACATCCTACTAAAAATATCTCCTATTATGGGTTTGTATAGCACCTAGTATAAAGACGATCTCTTCTTGATTGAGGCCTAGAAGCTGTACTATAATGTATCAGAGAATACATTCTGCTGTGTGACGTTGGCTGTGCTATTCCACTAACTGGGGTCTATAGAGGTCAGAGTTGAATTGTCTGCTCCACCACAGACTTTCTGTATGACCTCAGACCACTCACTTACTCCCTCTCTCCCTTAGCGTCCCATCTGTGAAATGGGGCTAATGCCGGATAGTTATCTATCTCTCAGGGATCTTGTGAGGAAAAATACAGCAAAGGTTCCAACGTACTCAGATCCTATTGTTAGAGAGGCTGTGTAGAACAGGTCATTGCTGAGGTCAGTAAAAGGAAAAAAAGTTTGTCATCTATGTGACAGTGGTATTGTAGTGCAAAGCGTACATTTTCCATTTTGTCTAGTGTAGCAGAACTCTCTGTAACCAACCCTGCTACTCTGGAGAAATGAGTGGAGACCATTTGCAACTTTTCAATGTAACATTCCATTTCCACTGGGTGCTAAGAAATGAGACTGGAGAACAACTTGGTTACTGTTTTTGTTAACCAGCCTTGGGAGAAAGCAAACCTGGAGCTGAACATGGTGTTAAAAATTCCTAAAATCCTTGCGTCTGAATGGTCATAATATTTATTTTACCACTGTCAAGAGAATAGGGGGAGTAGATCTCTGAAGCCAAAAAGTAGGACACTTATTCTCAGGCTTTCGGAAGTCATATGCTTTCAGGCAATACATGTATAAGGCTACGTGAGAGCAAAGAAGACTAAAGGGTGAAAAAAATGCAGTTTTACATACTACTTGCAAGCTTATGGCGTAGAGCCCTAAACTAGGTATTCAGAGAGCCTGTGCTAAGTGGGAGAGTAATAGTTATTGAAAGATTTATGGCTGACTCAGCTATTTCCTCCACATTTATGGTTTCATTACTGTCCCAATGTTTTCTATCTAATCTACGACTCAGCGTTGTGGTATCTAGGCATTGCTGAAAAAACAAAACAGAAGAACCCCAGCCAAACAAATAAGGGAAGCATCTTTTAACATCCCTTTTTATAGGATTTTTTTCAAATTTTCTGCAGATTGCCTTTTCAAGGTGTGTCCTATGAACAGATATTCTGCACAGAAGCAGTACTGGAAAGCCAAACAAGCCAAACAAGGAAACCATACAGAAGCAGCTTTGCTTAAGAAACTACAGGTAAGAGCCATGTTACCTAAATCTGTAGTCCAGTGGTAGAATTACAGTATAATGAAATAACCATAACAAATGTCTAAAGAATTGCCATGCTGAATATCAGACCACCATAGCAAACCTCTTTATGTACTCCTTCCTCCAACCTCCATGACTGGCATGTTACCTGTCTGCCCTGCCTTAGATTATCAGCTCTTTGTGATAGGGAGTGTTTCTTGACTCTCTGTGTGTGAAGCACAGGTGATTCCTATGGCATAATGTTCATTTTTCAAATATCTGACTTAATAAGAGCTTTCTTTTTAATTTAGTGGGTCGTTTCAGGTCTGAATTCTAGGAGTCTGGCAAGGGACATGGAGAGCCTTTTTGCACACCTTCAGCCTGAAATACCTCCAACAAGGCTGTTTTTATTGCATTCAGTCTAAGTGGGGGCTCTTTGGGACCTCATCATTATTGAACACCATGCACTCCCCTCCTTTGCATCAGACACAGTGGATGTGAGAGAAGAGTCCTTGGCCACTGACAGACTGTTTGAGCAAATCACTTTAAACTCTGAGCAGAGAGTCCCAGTAAAGTCATTGGGGTGGGGGTGGGGACTGTGTCTGTGTAGGTACAGCAGCCTTCCCACATGCCATTCATTGCAGGGTTGGGTGCAGTTTACTGGTTCTGGTTAATTGGTAGGGGCTGGAGCAGCTTCCTGCCCACCGCAGGCAGGAGGCTGCTTTCGTCCCACAGGGCCCACCAGAGCAGCCGCTGTCAGTAGTGGGCATGGCCCCCCCATCCGCAGGTTCCATGCAGGCTCCCCCAGGGGCAGGGCTGGAAGGGGCTGCTGCAGAGCCAGGGAACAGGCTGCAGAGCCACAGTGAAGCCTTCCCAGTAGTGGAGCCAGCCGCCCTTGTTGGCCCTGCTCCTGGTGAGGTGGCTTTGCTGTGGGCTCTACAGTATTATGCTTACACTATGATTTTTGGAGGTTACACTGTTACTTTTTTAAACACATTTTTATATCCCTAGGTTGGGGCATCTATAAAATCACTCACTAAGTGACACGGTACTCTAAACATTTCTAAAATTTGAGATTCTTGTACGAAAGTACTATAAAAGTGGAATCATTGTGCAATTCTTTTTCCTGCAAGTTACCTCTGAGATAACTAGAAGTGTTTTGGTTTAGAATGTCCATGTACCTTCTTTTTTTTAAATAATAAAGGAGAGGGTGGAACTGTTTTTTCCCCAAAATTTGGGATGACACAAAGCACCAGGAAATACTTTTCTTCTTACTGAACTTCTAAAATAGCATGCAGCTAGGCCATGATCCATAAATCGTGAATTGTTTTTAGTTTGGGGAATATAAACCCTGAATGACCCTCTGGTAGCTGTATGTTTGTAGTACACAGAATTCAGAAGCAGCAAGAGACTGGTGCTAAATGTTTTTTTTATCAATAGTGTAGTAAGAGCTGTACATTGAAGAAGACATTTTTAATATGATACTATTTCTTATGCTTCCTAGCCATTCCAATAGCTGAACCCTGGTATTGATTTCCTATTTAAGTAACTGATTCTTTTGTAGCATGCAGCAGAACTGGAACAGAAGCAGAATGAATGTGAGAACAGAAAGTTGTTGGGTGACATCGTAAAATATAGCAATGTCATACAGGTAAGCCACTGAGCTGCTTGTGCGTTTTCTCAGAGCTGAAAGGGAAACAGATGTTTCATTTCAAGGGTTATTGGGAATATGAAACTGAATGTTGCAATTCTGGCTGTCACTGAGCAGGTAAACAAAATGTAGTAAAAACAATTATACTGTATTTTTCTTTCATTTTAAAAGAATACCAGAAGTACTGTGTATTCTTTTTCTAATGATGTGCCAGAGTAGTATTTTTCAGTATGATGTTGTTTTGGAAGTAAATATACATATCCATGATTTAGATGAAGTTGCAAAACATCATATATCACAGGAGTCATTCTTTCTCCTTATCTGTCATGTTTTTGTCATATTCCCAAGCTCAGTAAAACTTTTATTAACATAAAGGCTGTGTCTACACTGGCCTCCCTTTCGGAAAAGGGATGCTAATGTAGCACTTTGGAATAGGCAAATCCGCGGGGTATTTAAATACCCCCCGCGGCATTTGCATTATCTAGGCTGCCGCTTTTTTCCGGCTTGGAGATAAGCCGGAGAAAAGCGGCAGCCATGTTAAAGCAAATGCCGCGGGGGGTATTTAAATACCCCCCGCGGCATTTGCATTATCTAGGCTGCCGCTTTTTTCCGGCTTGGAGATAAGCCGGAGAAAAGCGGCAGCCATGTTAAAGCAAATGCCGCGGGGGATATTTAAATCCCCCGCGGATTTGCCTATTCCAAAGTGCTACATTAGCATCCCTTTTCCGGAAAGGGATGCCAATGTAGACACAGCCAACAGGCCTATAGATGAATAATCTCATTAAAAGGGTAGTGCCGTTAAAAACAGTCCAAGGGAAGAGGGCAAGGGGCACCCAGATATTAAGCTGTGAGTTTCAACTTACTTGACCATGATTATAAACTGGATCTAAGACGTGTAGTGTAACATGTCATCGGAAAGCTCATAACTCAGTTGTTCATGTCACTGTGTAATTCAGGCGCACACAACTGATGCGAAGTTATAGACATAAACTGAAATAATTAATAAAATGTGTTTTCCACTCAACAAGAGTTACCCCACCCTAAACAAAGGATTGTGGTTTCACCACTGGGCAGTTATTTCTAAAGTATTTTGAAAGACCATTAATTTGTATTTACATATCAGATAAACTCAGCTATCCAGCTAACAAATGGGGAAAAAGACCGCCTGGCTACGCCCCAGCAGGGAGGAGAAACATTATTTGAGCCATCAAGATGGGAGGGAGGGGACTCTAAAACTCAAATAATAAACAATTGAATTGGCTGATTTAATATTTGTGTATCGTGTAAGCCCTTCAATGCCTGTAACACATTGGTAATTAATATAATTGTAAAATGTACTAGGAATTATTGGTATTGATACTGTGTTTTCAAGTGTGTGGAGGGGACGAATAGTTCCTGCCGAGACAGAAGTGGTCAAGTGTGTATATGTGGGGAGGAAAGATCAGAGGAAAGCAGTTTATCTGTTTTCTATGTAAATTTACGCATGGTAGGATCAAAACAATGACAGCCCCATTTATGTACTGGGGGAAGCCCACAGGAGTGGAAGAAAAGAATGAGGTAGGTCCAGCTTCCTGATTGGGAGTCAGGGGGGACAGCAGGCTGGGCACACAGGACGGAAAGCTGTTTTAGGCATCCATCACTAGATAGACACAAGAAGCCAGAGCTCTTGCAAGCTGAGAAGGATAAGCCCTTCAACCACGTTTGTGCGGGGATGAGGTCTCTAGAACTGCATAGAGGCACGATACCTGCTTAGGCAAAGAACTTTCATCTAGGAGCATGCTGGGGCTCCATGCAGCCATGTGTTCTGAGCATGCTACCTTCCCCCCGCCCCTCCCCATGCCAGCTCTGCAGCTCTCTCTGACTGGGAACTGCAGCCTGTGGGAGATGTTGATGGGGCAGGACCTTAATATAGAAGCCGGGCGGGGGGACATGCTGTTGCTTGCGGGAGCTACTTGCGGTAAGCACTGCCTGCAGCCTGGATCCCTGAGGCCCCTTCTCGTGCCTCATTCCCAGCACCAGCCCTGATCTTCCTCCCATCCTGCAAACCCCTTCTTCTCAGCATAGAGCACCCTTCTGCACCCCATACTCCTAATCCCTCGCTGGGGCCTTCACTCAGCTCCCACATCCCAACTCCCAATTTCATGAGCATTCATGGCCCACCATGTAATTTCCATATGGAGGTGCATGTCTCGGGCCAGATAGTTTGCCCACCCCGATTTAACCTATATCTTAATGTTAATACATTTGTTTTATTGTATTACAAACCAACTCCGTGCTATGTTTGAAGGGAAGTGTGTGTTCACATCAGTTAAGTTAATAAACCTTGATGTGTTTTTAGAAGAACAAATGAACTATATTATTTCTCTGACCTGTCCAGTAGAGAGCTGGTCATTGCAGAGCATGTGGTTTGGTGAAATAAATATGGGCTTGGCAATGTGTTTGGAGTCCCCTTGCTGGTTGTAACCAAAGCTGATGGGGGCTGGAGGCTGCTGAGATTAGAACTTCTGAAGCAGGGTTGTCTAGCACACAGTGTCCAACATGCGGCCTGTATGCTGGTAGGCTGCTGGTGAGCGGCCCCAGTTGGGAGCTACAGCAGCAAGGCATTGTGAGGCATTTAGGTTTACAAGGGGAGGGTGATGACTTTATCTCTCATTGGTCTTGGTTTGCACTGCCCAGAAGGAGCCTGGTGTCTATGTGGTGTCTGATCACTACACTATTTTCTTTTGATGCCAGTAGGCTCTTGTGCAGTAACTGTTTGCTTGATTTATTCCTTTTGGTCTCTTTTCAGGTTTGATTTTTGCCTTCATTTATTAGTCCATGAAAAATTGCCAAAAGCTTTTAAATAACCCCCTGACAGAAAGTCGGAAGGATCCTAACTTTTGGTTTTATTGACAGCTGCTGCACATAAAAAGCAACAAATATCTCACTGTCAATAAGAGGTTACCAGCTCTCTTGGAGAAGAATGCTATGCGGGTGTCTCTGGATGCTGCAGGGAATGAGGGGTCCTGGTTTTACATCCAACCGTTTTGGAAGCTGAGGAGTGAAGGTGACAATGTAGGTGAAAATACTGACTCTCAACAAAGTTGCTTATTGTGAAAGCAAAGGGAGGCATGAGGAAGAATTTCTTAGTTATTGTCATAAATCAGGACTCAAAAAGCACAGTTATTTCTAAACAATGTCTTTGCCGAATATATAGTACATAAATATATAATGCTTCCTCAAATTACAGAGAGAAGATAACATCCAGGGTTTGATTCTACACTGGTGTGGCACAGTGGAAAGAGGGTCAGCTGGTGGAAATGGGTGTAATAATGATGACATCAGTAGTGCTACACTGATTTACAACACCTGTGAACCCATATCATTGTACATTTGAGGGGCAGGATGTAGGAAAAGAGCTCTTGGATTCTGAAATCAATTCACAAAAAGCAAGAACATTCAGCAAAAAGGGGAAAATTGTGTTGTCAGGTCCATAGAGCAGGTCTCTGGCGAATATGCTGCGCTTTTTCCATGCACTGAACTCTTCATATCCTCTCAGGAATACTATGCCCAACTCTGAGAGGGGATTAGATTTGTTAATCTGGTGGGTCTTTTCCATCTCTAACTGGTATGTTTCCTATTTAGTTCAGGTGAGTCTTGCATATTAGCTCAAGATAGAATGTAAGAAGAGATCATGATGGGAGGGATAAAAGAACTGTGCCCTAAGCTTGAAACGCAGTCTTTAAATCATGGTTTCACATCCACTAGGTCCTGTAAGCAATGGATCCGAACTGGCAAATTTCTAGGTCTGGCAGCTTTATTTTGCAGACTGGACCTGGGACTCCTAGGCAGACTTGTCAGGTGTGAAGTGCTCAGCAAATCTCTCCCCTGCAGTAGCCATGTGCAGTAGCACTGTCTTATGAGCTCACCAAAGAAAATGCAATGGCTTCTTATGAAAATGCACTGGTGGAAAGTGTTTATCAAGTATGCTGGAGGGAGTTGTTAGAATGAATGGGATTTGTCTCATGGGTCACATTTAATGCATTTAAATTCAGTTTAGGAATTTTGAGAGACACAATAAGGATAAAATCCATATTTTATTATACGATAAAACTAAAGCAAGCGGGCACTAATGAATTATGGACTAACAATTTAACTTTATTCTCACATTCCCAAGAATGGGTATTGGATCCGTCTTTTAAGCTCTGTATGAACGTGTGTGGAACTCTCCATAAATTGGGAGCTACCCTGTTTATAGTAAATTTTAATGTGGTAAAAAGATGGATTTAATGTTTCTTCAACTGCCATATTTAACTATCCACACCCCAGAACTGAAATATCTTCTACTTTATTGGCTATTAATATCAAACATTCTAATTATCATTTGCATCAGTGCACATTTCTGCAGTTATCAGTATTACAGAACATCCACCTTTTCCCTTAAAATACTTGCAGAAACCAGATGAAACAAAAACATATTTAGTGCATGACCCAAGATTATGCCTCGAGTCCCTTCTATTTATAGTTCTTCTTCACTCACTAACAAAACTTAACTTTTGCTAATATGAAGCCTAAAATCCTACACCCTCCTTGCATTTCAATGTAAATTCAGTTAGCATAAGTAAACATTATCCTCACGGCTTACCATTGTGAGATTTGTCTTTTAAAAATATTAATAAAAAATTTTTTAAATTTGATCTTACACTGCCTTCTTTGGAGAACTTCAATAGACATTTGTCACAGTGATTGAACAATATTACCTAATATATTCTAGCAGTCGAGTCCGGATTAAGTATTAATATCCAGTTAGACGTTCTAGCAACTGATAGTAATTTTGTCCCAATTCTGCAGTCCTCCATCAAATAAATCTCCATTTGATTTCCATAGAAGATTTGGTTGGGAAGGCCAGAAACTGTTCCAATTGAAGTGAGCATTAAACTTGCTTTGTATCTGGTATTTTGATATGCCACGGGAGATGAATATAGTCAGCCACTCATAGGAGCTACTCAGCAGCCTGCAGAATAGTAGCCTAAACCTGCTGTGTAATGTAATCATAGAAGTATCTCAGTAGATCAGTGTTTCTTAAACTGCTCCGTGGTACACTGGTGTGCCGCGAGACAGTCAGGGGTGTGCCGTGGAGAACAGAATTCAAAATGGCCTCCCTTAAAGGGGCAAGGGCGGGTGATTTTTTTTTTGCTTAATAACTTTTTCCCGACCCTTTTCCTCCCTTGAATTCCCCCCCCCCCTCAAAAAAAAAAAAATCCTTGGTGTTCCTTATAAAAAAAAATTATTTGGTGTTCATCTGTCTTAAAAAGTTTAAGAAACACTGCAGTAGATGAAGTTACTCCAAATTCATATTGGACTTCAGGGTTGCTCTAAATTACCAGTCACAAGGGCTTCCTAGGGGCCATTTTTCTGGCCCTGGATTGCCAGAGTACAGTGTGTTCTGGCCATGGCTTCTGCCACTATACTAGGGGATTGAGTAGAAGATGGTTGTGTGGCCTTGGTGGTTGCTGTTTGCAAGAGCAATTGCCAGATGCCCTGTTAAATTAGCTTTCCGTAGCGTTTGCACCCTGTGATGTGGCCCAGAGATTTTAGGGTTATGGTTAGGCTCTCACTAAAGTCAATGGATAGATTCTCATTGATTTAATGGTAAATTGCATCATACCTTAGAAAATATCTAGTTGGGTTGGAAAGTGAAAGTTCCTAGACCAGAGACGTATTAATTAATTACTTCCACAAAGTGAGAGCGAGAAATAAAATTAAACCGGTTCAGATGTCTGTAGGAGTCAGAGTTCCTTCCCAGATCTGTGTCTGGATCCGCACTGCTGTGTTGTATTCCTTACTTCTGCCCCCCATCCCCCAGGCACAGTCTTAGGCTATGTCTAGACTGCAGGCTTCTTTCGAAAGAGGCTCTTTCGAAAGCATCTTTCGAAAGAGCCTCTTTCGAAAGATCGCGTCTAGACTGCAGGCGGATCTTTCGAAAGAGAAATCCGCTTTTTCGAAAGAGAGCACCCAGCGAGTCTGGATGCTCTCTTTCGAAGACGGCCTCTTTACATTGAAGAACGGCTTCTTTCGAAAGAGGAACTTTCGAAAGAAGGCGTTCTTCCTCGTAAATTGAGGTTTACTGCCATCGAAAGAAAAGCCGCGTTCTTTCGAAATAATTTCGAAAGAACGCGGCTTGAGTCTGGACGCAGGGGAAGTTTTCCCGAAAAAACCCCTGAGTCTGGACACGGCCTTAGATTTTAACTCTCATTGGATAATTCCTTTTTTAAAATGGGATGCTTGGTTATGTGTTCTCAGTAATTTTTGTTATTGTTATAATCTAGCTGTACTTTCAATGGATTTTGAAGTCCTGATTCAATTCTGCAGGATACAAGACTGATGGTTTATTTTGGTTAATGAATTGTCTGATCTTAACTTCTTACATGGCTGTAAGTAAAGTCTGTGTGAAGCATGGCATGCAGGAATGTATTGCATAAGTAATGCACCTTACAGACACATTTTCATCATTGTGTTGGAGTCCCTTAATAAACTTCCTGGTTTTGGATCTGTCGGGATTTTGACATGTATTCTGAGCATGATGAAACCTTATTTTTGTACCAGAATTGATTTAACTCTTAATGTGCCAACTTCATTGGCATTGATTTCAATGCAGTAACACGCGGGATGAATTTGACCCAATGTGTTTATTAATTGCATTGTTAGCAAATGCAGAAATCAACTTTGTGTTTGTATTCCAAAAAAGCATGGCTCTCACAGCATTTCTCATGACATGGAGCACAGTTTTTAGAAGTCACTTCCTTGTTTTCCTCTGTCTGTGTGCTTCTAGACTTGCTGTGAACACCGTAACTAAATCAGAGCATCAACACCAAAGCTGGAGCAGGGCTAATACTGCTATTCTTATTAGATATTAAGATATTCCCTTTGTTAGGTGTGAGCTGAATTCTTGTCACATGAATCTGTTGTTATTTTCTAGGTTGGAGAGACCATTTGACATGTTGTTTTCTCCAGAACTGTCCTTCTCGTGCAGCTCAGGCAGTGCACAAGAGCTGGAATCTGGCTATAGCTGGCTGGCTGGCAAGTTCTCCAGTAGGGAGGGATCTTTCAGTTGGCATGACAGGCACCTGTGGCATCCATCACCCATTGTATAGGTGCATTTCAGGAAAGGGGGCAGAGCATGCTTGCACTTTGATTCACAGATGGTATGTGATCTTTTAGGGCACGTCTAAACTACATTCCTCTGTTGAAAGAGGAATGTAAATGAGGCAAATCGAAAGTGCAAACGAAGTGTGGATTTAAATATCCCGTGCTTCATTTGCATCCAAGCACTTTTTTGAAAGTGAAAGCTCAGTCTCGATGCAGTTTTAGAAAAAAAACCCTTTTTTGAAAGAACCCGTACTCCTGAAAAAATGAGGAGTATGGGTGCTTTCAAAAAAGGTTTTTTTTTCCCTTGAAAGAACTGCATCTAGACTGCACTTTCACTTTTAAAAAAGTGCTGAGATGTGAATACGCAAATGAAGTGTGGGGTATTTAAATCCGTGCTTCATTTGCACTTTCGATATGCTTCATTTACATTCCTCTTTCGAAAGAGGAATGTAGTCTAGACATAGCCTTAGAGAGCAAAGCCAGCTGGAGTAAAATAGAGCCCTCCTTAAGCTGTTCTAACTCAGACCAGTCCAAACATGGGGCTTCACACATTGGGCTTCAGTCTCTCATCTAGGCTGATTTGAACTTGATAAAACAAACAAATACAAATCTGGCCTGAAGCCTCTAAGGCTTTTGTGAAATCAAAGACAAAAGGATGGAGACTATTAGCAAGAACTGCAGAGGGATCCTTTTCACAAACTCTGGACCTTTTTTTTTCTTTCAAATTTTACCTACCACTTGGCTGGCAGTGCAAGGGAACGAAGGGCACTTAATTCAGTTTTTATCTGGATTGGTTTGTTTTTACAGACCTGGAATTGATAGGGCCATAGGACCACCTTTTTCACCAACATATCCTGCCTGGATCTACTAGCAAGGTCACTGAGACTTGTTGGGGTGCAGTTTTGAAGTTGAACTGCTCACTTGAGAGCTGTGCTTGCTCTGGCTGGGACTTAATTCTGTGGTTTCTGAATTGTCCTTGGAGGTCGTTGGCTACGTGAAGGTCCAAGAGCATCTGCTGAGCTGAGCCCTGCGTGTAGCGTTGCTTCGTGGCTGATTACCTGCGACTAAATTGTCGTTTATTTCTGGCGTTCAGATAGTTGTGGGAGACAAAGTGGTGCTGATGCCAGTCAACGCAGGACAGCCTCTCCATGCCAGCAATATAGAGCTTCTAGATAATCCAGGCTGCAAAGAGGTGAGTTGAGCAGAGGAGGGGTAGCTGGCAGTTCAGAATGTGCATGCTCTCTGCATAGGTGGTATCCTCGGTTCCAGTCAGCAGCATACATCATCTCTACCTCTGCTGCTACTGCCCATGAGGTAATGGCCCAGTTACTTGGCAACCCAAAGGCAAAACAAAATGTATTTATTTCAGGCCTGATTCTACAAGGCCCTGACAGCTTCCTGGGAGTTGAGTACCCGATTCTCTTGCAATAGTCACTCAGATAGTCATTCAGCTTCTCTCAGGCTCAGGCCTTTTGGGTCTCCCATTAGAAAGCACTATACTAGTTAAACATTTGGCCCACTCTACATCCATCCTTATCATTGTCACCCATCCTTATTTATTAGTGTAACTGTATGAGATGGGAACCCTATTACCAAGAACAAAAAGATCTTACTGTACCCTTTTGTGTATTAAAGACTAAATCAGCATTAAACGAACCAGCAAATCCTCAACCTATAGATATGTATATATTTTTGACAGGTAAATGCTGTTAATTGCAACACAAGCTGGAAAATAACTTTATTCATGAAATACAGTTGCTACCGAGAAGACGTTCTTAAAGGAGTAAGTATGAGTCACCTATTTGTTATCTTGTCTGTACTGAATTTCAGGATGTGTAACCATGATGAGGTTAATTGCATCTAGGGGAAATATTACCAAGAAGTAGAAATAGAAAACCATCTTACTGGAACAGCCAGAGCTATCTTGCATTACCAAGAATACTTCTCCAGTGCTCTATACCAGTCCATGTATAATAATGCAAAGGAAGAAACTGGCTTGCTGCAGGGCAAGATGTGGTACAAACATATGAGGAAGTCTCTGCCTTGAACAACTTACACTCTCTTTCTGCATCTTGGCTAAAACTATAAGAAGTATAACAAGCAGTTGGAGGGTGCGAGCACCAGCAATTAGATGCTGCTGCTGTAAAAATGAATCATGTGCACAACTCAAGGGCTCTGCTGCACTTGTTCATTTATTTAAAATAAAACTACACGCAGTCCTCCGGTGCTCCTTCACTAGCTGGTATCACCTGGCAATTTCATGGTAGCAATGGGTTTTGAGGAGGAAAGTGGAGGAAGACAGGCCGGGTGCTTTAAACGGCAGTTTGGGGAGGGTGTTGCATACTTAGGGGTGAGATGGAAGACAGCAGGAAGGTGCCTGTGGAAGAAGCAGGTGGTGGGGACTGGCATTGTTAGTAGAGCAGACGGGGCAGTGTGCAGGAGCCGTGTGCTAACAGACAGGAACAGAGAAGGAGGGGGGTTAACTTGTGAAGTGTGGGTAAGAAGCTTGAGTCTGATGCAGAGGAAAAGGGGGAAACCACTGGAGGGATTCGGAGTGCGGGGGGTTACTGCAGGCAAGGACATTGGTCTAGAGAGGTGAAGGTAAATGCAGGTGCCAGGGAAAGCAGAGAGGAGGATGCTTTAGTGGTGAGGCTGAAATAAAACCTGAAGTTGGATGGGGAGAGGGAGAAGGTGGGAGCTTTAAAATGTTGAGGAGATGGAGGAAGGAGTAGTGTGACTTGAATCCAGCTTCAGTGTGTGGGGCAAGAGAGAGGAAGGAGCCAAAGATAACACCGAGCAGCAGGGAGGACAGAGAAAACTCAGGGAGTGTGTAAAGTTTGGGGGACAGAGACTAAGGTTCTGATCCTCCCCTGCCCTGGAAACTTATGCTGTAACTTATGCTTGTTCCCAGGAAACTTGACATGATGCCAAATCAGAATGTTTAGTATTTCAGACCCATCTAGCAGAGGTGTAAGTGACCACCCAAAAGATAAGACAGTGGAGAATGGACCCGAAGTTCAGCTTTAGTCAGATTTCATTCCAATGGATGGTAAGACAGTTAGGAGGAAACATTGAGGAGAGAGAGAGATGCTGGGATGAGTGGAGGACAGGTCAGGAATGGAACATAAAGATGGCAATTGAAGCCAGGTGAGCCAATGAGATCCTCTTAAGAAAAAGTGGGGAGAGGAGAAGAGGACCGAGTCTGCCCTTCAGCACCAGGAAGTGATAGGGGAGAAGGAGAAAGCTTTCTGGAAAGAGACCTTTGATAAGCAAAAGGTGAAGTGAGAGGATCGAGTCGCAAAAGCAAAGGATGACAGATCAAGAAGGAAGGATCTGACAAGTAGGGTCAAAAGCATCTGAGATCTTAAGGTAAATGAGGATTGGGTTGAGGTCTTATGGTTTGGCTCATAAGTGAACCTGACTCTCTATCATCACAGCACCAACGCTCAGTTTGGTATTTTTAGGAATCTGTTAGAAAAAGCCTAGGACAGGAATAACTAGGTATTGCTCTCCACGGTGAGGTACATTGTCAGAACTGTGTGGAGGGGAAGCTTGCACAACCCTTGGCTATATTATGCCTTATGCACACTTCTAGAGCGTGCTGTCAGCTGCTCATTTTCATCAAGCACTAACTATGCTTATTCCAAAATAGAAAACCAGTTGAAAAATTCCTTAAACTTAAGTCATCCCAACGTTGACTGTCGTCATCTTTTCAGTGTCATGCTTTCAAAGCAGATTTTATTTTCGTTAACCTTTCACAGGGTTTATTTAAGAACAGACTTTAAACTCTTAGGCTACGTCTACACTGGCCCCTTTTCCGGAAGGGGCATGTTAATTTCAGAGATCGCAATAGGGAAATCCGCGGGGGATTTAAATATCCCCCGCGGCATTTAAATAAAAATGTCCGCCGCTTTTTTCCGGCTTTTAGAAAAGCCGGAAAAGAGCGTCTACACTGGCCCCGATCCTCCGGAAAAAGCGCCCTTTTCCGGAGGATCTTATTCCTACTTCGAAGTAGGAATAAGATCCTCCGGAAAAGGGCGCTTTTTCCGGAGGATCGGGGCCAGTGTAGACGCTCTTTTCCGGCTTTTCTAAAAGCCGGAAAAAAGCGGCGGACATTTTTATTTAAATGCCGCGGGGGATATTTAAATCCCCCGCGGATTTCCCTATTGCGATCTCTGAAATTAACATGCCCCTTCCGGAAAAGGGGCCAGTGTAGACGTAGCCCACGCCTGTCTGTCCTGTAAACCGTGATGCTTTCTCTGTTTTGCATGAGTTCCCAGCAATAGAAAATAAAGTGATAGGTCCCATGTACACCAGTGAAAATCATGTGGACTCTGTTGGATTCATATGGCTTAGAGCCTTAGACTCTTGCTCAGAGTTTCCACTTGCTTTGTCTTCTACTTCCTTCCTCTGTTTCTTTAGGGGGACGTTGTTAGACTGTTCCACGCAGAGCAAGAGAAGTTTCTGACCTGTGATGAATATGAGAAGAAGCAACATATCTTCCTTCGCACAACATTGCGCCAGTCAGCCACTTCTGCAACAAGTTCTAAAGCACTATGGGAAATAGAGGTATTTTTTGCCCATTATAAATATTTTAGGATGCAAATGCAGCACTGAGTAAAAATGCATCATTATGCATCATGCCTGATCATTTGGTATCACCATATACCTCCCAGTTAACAATATTTGTATGAAGCAGTTTGTGTAGGATGAATGCTTAAGAGATGCTTTATTACTACAATTGTGAGGGGAGAGGATGTTCTCTTGCTTTATATAGTTGCATAGAAGCAAAGGGCCAAATTGAAACCTAGCATAAATCTGGTCCAAGATAGGCATACACAGAATCTCAGGTGAGACATGTATTTGCTACAAAGGTATATGGCAATAGATCAGAGCGCCAATTTAGCAAACTAATTGAGTTCATTTCTCTTCTACAGAGAATGTTCTTAAAATTAGACATGTGCTTTGCTGAACGGGAATAGTGTATCTTAGAAGATTAGCAGGTTTTGTTCTCATAAGAAGAAAATGGACCAGTTGATGGATCTTAGAACCTTTACTTCCTCCCTATCCATGGATCCCAAACTGCTAGACATTTTGAAAACAAAAGGCTTCTTAGTTGGGCAAACCTACATTTTTGCCTGGATAGGGAACTGCAGGAGTGGGCCCTGTATATCTATGTACCACTTGACTTGTTACTTAGAAAAAGACACCACCAAACTGGAACGCAGGAAGTAACACTACAAAACAGTTGAAGACATAAAGGAAAGAATACGTTAGCCTCTTCAAATGACAGTGGGAATATTTGGCCAGTCAGAATATAATTATCCTGATGTCATCATATATACTTAGCAAAAAGGGGTGTGACACTTTTAATGTTTGTATTGATGGTGTAGTCATGTTGGTCCCAGGATACGAGAGACCAAGGCTACGTCTACACTGCCACTTTTTATTGGATAAAGGTACACAAATTATGCTCCACAACTTGTGTACCTTTTTCCGATAGTTTTGTTGGAAGAGGCTTTTCTGAAATTTGGCTTGTCTACATATGATCTATGGCAGATTTAGGTTAAGCACAGAATTTCACACTGTAGTAAAATATTTTATTATCATGGAATTCATATTGTGCAAAATATTGACAACATTCACTATAGTAGAATTAGTATTTTAGTGTAATGAAGACAGCAGTATCTCTGAATGCACTGTTTTATCTGTGTGTGATTCTCATGGTTGATTGGTATGACTGATAATCTGTATTTCTGTATATAGGTTGTACATCATGATCCGTGCCGTGGAGGGGCAGGACAATGGAATAGCCTGTTCAGATTTAAACATCTAGCAACTGGAAACTACTTAGCTGCAGAGGTAAAAACAGCATCTAAATAAGAAGAGGTACCATGTAACAAAACTGGGTGTGATTCCCTCGCACCAGACAACACTGTGCTGTACATTCTTCTAATTCATAGCTGTTGGAGTGTTTTTTTTTTATATTACAGGACAAACATAAGTAGATTTAGGACAACTTCTGTCTTTTTCTTTTCAATTGTCTCATTCACTGTTGGATCAGATTTTGTCACTAGTTGCACCAGTGCATATCCTTCTGATGTGAATTGCCATAGTTTGATTGAATACAATCATTCTGCCAGTCAGAGTTGGCAGCAATTGGGATAGGTTCAGGATCTAGGGGTTCCTTTTAAACAGTACAGCACAAAAGCAGCTGAAGTCCCCACCCAGTGACCTGGGACAATTACACACCACATTGTGGGTGCTTCTAAGAGTCAATACTTCCTGTCTTGCAAGCACATAGTCTGAGAGTAGCAAAAGCTTTTAACACGAGGAGGGAAGTAACTGCATTAATTTGGGAAAATACCACAAGCAGAGTTCTTAAACATAAACCATGAGCAAAAGACACATACTCAAATAGGTTGGGTAGTGTCCTTTTCCCCTTAGGGTCTTCAGTCCAGCAACCCAAAAGTCCCTTTAACATGCCCATCCCTTCCCTGCACCCCACTCACAATTGCTGTCCTTGGTCAGTGTAAACTCAGGATTCAAAGTGCCATCTGCAGAGTTCACCTCCCACCCTGGGTGGAAAGGAGGCACATTACTCGCTCTGCTGCTTGGCCCTCACGTGCAGCCCGTCGTGGCCAGCCACCCGACCAGTTGGCCCCTGCACTTTTCTGCAGAGCTGTGCTCTGGCCCTCTCTGCCAGCTCACTGAAATGTCTTCAGGCCTCTCACTTTAACACAGCTCTCAGTGATTTTTTAGCTCTCAGTGGGGGGGGGGAAAGCCACTGCTGCTGTATGTTGTTTAGTCTCTTTCACCAGAGACACTGTCCCATAGCAGGTCTAATACTTAGGCTTTAGTGATTTCAGCTCTGCAGCACATCACAAGACTCTCAACTGAGTCCAAACTAGCTTTCTTATTTCACAGTGGAGTGAGGACAGGTCAAACGGTGTCTAAAGCACTTAAGCATAGCTTCCCCCCTTACCTGTTCCCCATCCTCTCTCTACTCAGTGGGCTTTGGAACTCATGTCCTCTGCCTAGTGAGTGCTGTTTAATTGAGGGCAAGTCCCTCATTTGGGAAATGCCAAGTGCAGTTCTGTTGCCCTGGATTCACAGAAGAATAACAAAGCTTTATTACTCCTGTCCCAATAATAGGGGGCGCATCTCCACAGCACCCTAAACTTGAAGTAAGGTACACAATTTGTGACTCTTATCTCAAATCTATTTCTAAATAGCTTATTTTGAAATTTGGCGTATCTACACAGCACCAAATTTTGATATACCGTGCTATTTCGAGCCTTCCCTTATCCTTTGTGCAATGATGTTTACCGCTAGTTGCTGAAACTTCAAACGCCTTTGGAGTGGTACCCCTTAGTTGGCTAACTGGAACTTGTTCAAACTAGGCCTTCTTGCAACCTGCCGATAAAGAAGGGGCTTTTGGTATAAAAAGGCTGAGTTAAATCAACATGGGGCTTTCTTTTGATTCAGCACACTGACAGGATCCTCTCTCTCTGAATGAGGGGGGGGGGGCAATCTTTACAGAAAGGTTGGGAGAGCTTTGGCTTACAAAGGCCTCATAAGACCGAAGGGTGACCTGGCAAGCTTTTCGCACCAGAATCGGAATGCTTTTTCAAGTGTTCTCCATACTGCTTTTGCCTGAAATAATAAACATGTAATGCTTTGTGAAAGCTACTTGGTAACTGGTATGCACAGTTGTAACCCCTTGAAGAGAGGATAACTCAAAGGTGTTGGGCCCCAGTATGACCGGTGAGGAAATCACAATGAAGTGCAAAAGTATGCATGTGTCTCTGCCCAACAGAGGTGATTTCTGAAATTCCGAAACCTTATGCAGGTGCCCCCAAGGAAAGCCAGGAGGGAGGTCAAAGGTGCAGTTAACACTGGAACTGTGACAATCCCTTTATAGTTCGCTGGCCAGCCTCACTTCACTGCATTGCTGTGGTGTGCTCCCAGTTTGTCTAAAACCAGCTGGCTCTATTCTGTGTGTTTTAATTCTGTTATAGTAGTGGCTAGTGCCCCTAACTGAGATCAGAGCCCTGTTGTGCCAGGTGCTATGCATGTTACAAGAGACAGACCTACCGTAAAGAGCTTGCAGGCTAAATAGACAAGACTAGAGTACAGGAAAAGATCTCTCTTCATTGCCCTTTAGGGAGGGGGAGGTCTGAAGTGAGCGATTTCCAAGTTTACCTTGAGGAGTACTGGCTGGCTCTGCTTTCATCCAAGTCAGACTTCATCTGAACAAAGGTTTTAACAAGGGCATCCTAAATCTGCAGGTCAGTAGGGGTGTGCTGCCATGTGTGCGGAATCGTAGTTTAGAATCTTTAAACCTCTGCACCAGCTTTCCTGAGGAAATAACTGGCAAGGAGGTTTTCAATATGGAGAGCAGCATAGGCACA